AACCTGACTGACAATATTTATTTTGGTATTGCTTTAGGTGAGTCAACAGGCTCTGCCAAAGTGCCATAGACAGGGAAAGTCCATTTAGCAATAAAATGGTGTACTTGAAGTTTCTTTTGTTTTGCAAACAGTTTTCACATCTTTCTTACTTGATCTAATGGGATGTTTAAACAATTCTTCACATTATGTTTAAATGCAGATATTGTGAAACGCAGTAAATGAAGAGACATTCTGGGATTACTTCTATTGAACCCCTTTAATCTGCAACCCATTGTATTACTGTGCTTCACATCACAAAAATCTTTCCCACTTTGTAGTTAAACATTTACTCTAATCTGTGTTGAGACTGATCTAATGTATCATATATTTTCCTAATGATAAACACTATGTTGTTTGGAGATCTTCAAGCTCTGGCTGTCCTTGTCCTTACAGAAATGTGTGTAAAAAATTCTTCTGAAGCTAAAAGCCTTCATGAGTATTCATTAAATGACAGATAACAGATTGGTTTTGAACCACAGTCACAGTTTACCCTAAATTAAGAATGATTTTTGAAGTAAGTCAGGTACAGAATTTTTTATAGCCAAATAAATGAACATTTATTTATCAGTTTTCAAATACGTATCTACTGTTGATTATCTGCTCCCCTAAGGTCAAATATTGCATTCATTTCTATGAAAAAATCTTGTAATATTTCATCAGAAAGTGAGGTTGTAAATGTAACAGCTCTAAATATTTATAGTCTACTATCCCAAATCTCTTACCTACACTTTAGTCTACAGCTCTACAGTCCCAAATAGCTTATTCTACATCGTCTTCTTCCTGATTCCTGTATTACAGAGTACATCTAGAAAGGCTTACCTTGAGGGATATTATTCAAAAGCAGTTGGATGGAGGACAAATGGATTTCAACAAAGTCAGTACTAAGTTATTTATACCCACTTGGATATATACCTCACCCATGTGATCACTTCCTTTATCAAACCCACTTCAACATTTATTAATTAATTCTTCCATGAGATTCCTTAGAGTCATTATGCCCACGGTGTATCTTAGTAATATAGCTCCAGCCATGTACAGGATCTATACTGAGAAGTCTGTTCTGCAGGTGCATTCACTATATAGCAACTTTCCCTAATACTCTTGTCTGTAATTAAATAACAATCATCTCATTGTTATTAATCACTCACGAAATCTCTGAAGCATGTGAATATGGCTTTAATAGCTTAGCAAAAGGTAGTGTTCAGTGATGAAAGATGAGTGAAAACTTATACAGCTTTAAACACTGGCATTCCTCAGGGTTGGGAAGTCTGCTCTCATCTATCCACAGTGGCTCTGATTCAAGGCTGAGTGAAATCCAGAGGAAGGTTGAGTCAATGAGCATTAGAAAGGCTTTTCCTCATCAGGAAGGTGTGCTTTCTGCCAGGGTCAGACACAGCTGCCCTTCAAAGATGCCATCAACAAAGGCAAACTGTCCACTGAGCTTTAGCATGGAGAAGTGAGAAGTCTGACAAATTGGGAATTGTAAAAATACTTCCGTGAACAGAAGGCTTGGTTCCTCCAAGGCCCTGTGAACTACACGGTCATCAGAAAGGCCTTTGACAGTGTCTCCCATAAGATCCTCATAGAGAATCTGTTGATATGTGGGCTGGATGAGCCCAGTGAGGTTGGTTGAAAACTGGCTGAATGGCAGGGCCCAGAAGGTCGTCGTCAGCAGCACAAAGTCTGCTTGGAGGCCAGTGACTAGTGGTGTACGCCAACAGTTAATACTGGGTCCCGTCTTACTTAACATCTTCATTAATGATGTGGATGCTGGGGCAGAGTGTACCCTCAGCAAGTTTGCAGATGACACAACCTGGGAGGAGTGGCTGATACGCCAGAGGGTCATGCTGCCATCCAGAGGGACCTTGGCAGGCTGGAGAAATGGGCCAACAGGAACTTCATGAAGTTCGACAAGAAATGAAAAGTCCTGCACCTGGGGAGAAACAACTCCATGCACCAATATATGCTGGGGGCCACTCAGCTAGAAAGCAGCTCGGCAGAAAAGGACCTGGGGTCCTGGTGGACACCAAGTTGAACTTGAGTAAGCAGTGTGCCCTTGCAGCAAAGGCAGCTAAGTGTATCCTCCACTGCATTGGGCAAAATATTGCCAGCAGGTCGAGGGAGCGGATCCTTCCCTTCCACTCGGCACTGGTGAGGCCACACCTGGAGTACTGTGTCCAGTTTTGGGCTCCTCAGTATAAGACAGACATGGACAGTCCAAAGAAGGGCCACAAAGATGATTAAGGGACTTGAGCATCTCTCTCATGAGGAGAGGCAGAGAGAGCTGGGACTCTTCAACATAGAGAAGACTCAGGGGGATCGCATCAATGCCTATAAATACCTGAAGGAAGGGTGTAAAGAAGACAGAGCCAGGCTCTTTTCAGTGGTGTCCAGGGACATGACAAGAGGCAGGGGGCACAAAGTGAAACACAGGAGGTTCCCTCTGAACATCAGGAAACACTTTCATACTGTGAGAGTGACTGAGCACTGGCCCAGAGAGGTTGTGAAGTCTCCCTCCTGCTCTCCTCCTTTGGAGATATTCCAAAGCCATCTGGACATGGTCTTAGGCAACCAGCTCTAGGTGTCCCTGCTTGGGCAGGGTGGGTGGACGAGATGACCTCCTGAGGTCCCTTCCAACCTCAACCATTCTGTGATGCTCTGATTCTGTGTTGATTCAGTGCTGGCATGTTGCCAGGAAAAGGACAGCATCCAGTCTTAAAATTTCTGTGATCAGCCTTATCAAGGAACTTTACAGAAGAGTGAAACATGGCAGAAATCATGCCTTAATGATATGAAAATTCATTTTCATGTGAGTTTTGGTGTTTCCAGCTGGAGTATCCAGGGATTGCCCAAAGTGCATTTTTACTGCCTTGAAGAACATTTTCAGCGTGACAGATCAGAGTGGGCTTGACTAGGCATAATAATAAACATGAGTCCTCTGACATATTGATTTGCCCATGCCACCATCATTTCTGAACTTCTGCCAAACATGCACAGAGGCTTTGCAGGACTGAAAAACCTGGAATATGGAAAAACTTTTTTTTTTGAGGGCAGCCAATGTGTTCACTTTTTTCACCAAGCCTTGCTTTTTCATTCCTTCTCTTATTTTGTAGTTTTTCATGTTAATTTTCATTATTCTCCTGGGAAAGCCAAACAGTAAGTCTTAAACAACTGTGACAAGAAGGTTGTCATTCAGGACAGGTACCATTAATCCTTTCTCAGCTCCTTTCACAAGATACCCATAACTACATAACTACTAAATATCTCCCCATGAACACACCTGGGCAGTAGCTCTCAGCCCTTTCCAAGACCTTAGAGTGGAGATGGCTGTGACCGACCCCCAGTGCCAGACACAGTTCAGGCACACCCTATTGCACTATAGAGAGGTTAGCTCTCTGTCCAAGGACTTGTATTCCTGTAGGAAAAACACAGAATGGTTTCTTATAAACACAAAAGTGTCCTTTAGCACGGAGATCAGTGCTACAGCTCAGAGCTGATGAAATTCATTAAAATAATTATGAAACAATCTTTTAAAGGGGAAGCCTTTTCAAAAAATATTTTTCTTTTGTTAGTGTCTTTATATTCAAGCCTAAAAAACCCCAGAAAGTCAAACTGACTTTAATCATTGTTTTCTCCCCTTATGTTCTTGTTTTCATGTCCTTCTTCTTGAGTTCTCAGAAAACTTAATGATAAAAATGTAAGAAACAGTATAGATTTATTTTTTTAAAATCATGTCTTCAGGCTTTAAGATGTTTTTGTGAGATTTAAAAGCAACAGTTGCACAAAGGTATAATTCACCCTGCTCTTCACAGCAGAACTGGTCCTGCCTTGGGTAAGGAGAGGTGCTGCAGTGAGATATCTCCACAGCATTGCAATAGCATGGCCATGTTAATATTCCCGATTTATACATTCACTGTATTGACATTCCTATTTCTTCCACAGGCCTAACTTTCAATATCAACTGTAACTGGTACTACTCGAATCTATCCTGCTCTTTGATATGACAGAAATGCTTCCATCATGCTATTGGGCACAAGAGTGCAATGTATTTTGGAAGAGGGCTGCTGCATCCCACCTCTCCCCATCGTGGTGCCACCTTTCTCTTTGCCTTTATATTGTATTGTATTGTATTGTATTGTATTGTATGTTATGTTATGTTATGTTATGTTATGTTATGTTATGTTATGTTATGTTATATTATATATTTCACCAGCGAAACATCAATGTGCACCAGCTATAGTGCAGATAATCTTTTTTTGAAATATGAACGGCTTGATGATGTACTTTGGGTTGATAGTAGCATCATATCGCTGCAGTGTAGCAAAATATAGGATCGTGCAATTTGTTTGGTCATTCTTTCCTTTTTTAGAACTGGCTTTTAGTTCACCGGAGGTGCATATAAGGAAGAAGGTGAATCTTGGTGAGCTCACACAAATATATCACAGAGTGAGAGTACAAGAGGTGTGAACATTTCCTTGGCCAAGTCTGCACTAGATAAGTTGCAGAAGTAGTGGGAGACTCTTGATTTGGAATAATGGATAATCTCCATGTGTTTAACACCAGGAAAAAAAACTTCTTGTCTTCAGTATTTCAGGTTACTTTTAAATTATTTTGTGTTTGTTCATTTTGATAACTTTATCTTAATTGTAAATAAAGCTAGAATAAACTATTTGCATTCACTAGTCAACCATACAAATACCCTGTATAAAATACAATTTTTAAAAGTCTTTCAATGATTTTATTGCAGTTATATCACTTGTATAAAATACATCTGTTTTTACACATTATTTTTACAATGCCTTGGAGGAAGACACATTTCTAGATTAACATCTGGTTAATAGCTTGTCTTGTTACAAATATTTGCAAATAATATGTTGCATCCTCATTTTTATACTGAGAAATGAAAGGACCAACTAAAACTGCCACCAGTCTTCCAATTTGCAGTAAAATTCCTCAGTGCTCTAGACTGACGTACAAATGTTTTTAAGGCATTTTTGCTTTAATGCTGGAAGAACACAAGAAAAGGGTTGTCAGAAGAGGTTTTATGAGGAAAATATTAAAAACATACATGAAGGTTAAATAATTTTTTTTAATCCCTTGAAAATCGTTATCAAATAAAATAGCTATCTGATGAAAGACAGCAAATACTCTATGCATATCTAAAACTTTTTATTATACCTTCATAATAAGGTATGTAGAGATATAAAGAGAAAATATACTTACTGTGGGAGTAAGTAAGTCTTTTGACTCTTTCACAGACATAACTTGCATTTTTCAAGAACCAGGAATAGTATTCAACACAGTACCTAAAGGTATAGTTAAAGTTAGGAGAGCAGTAGCTTGTCATCTTTCATAAGCACAGCTGTATGCATATCATACTGCTAATATTGAATATGGAAATAAAAAGCTGGATTCTGACCTCAATGACGTCATTAGATATTTGGAAAAATTCAGCTGAGCTGTATTCACTTAGTTTGAATACTGGAAGCCAGATCAGGTGTTGATCAGTGCACTGGGGACCCATTTGGGTCTCAGCCAGTAGCCACAGAATCTCAAAAATAAGCACTGGTGATTGAAAATTGTCATTTGAAAAAAGCCCGATGGCGTATTTAAGCAGAGAGGGAGAGAGAAACTAGTGCCAGGTTTTACCTCATGGCTTCCTTTCTGGAATATCTTCTCTGACCAACACAGAGGCACAGCTGAAAAAACCTACACAGCTCCATCACACAGGGATTGATCTTTTGCACTATAACAGTGACAGGAGGCGAGGTCACACGGGACTCTTTGAGGATCGCCTGTGGACACCCTAGGAAAAAATACAACTCTGAACTAGTTCAAATACTTGTCCCATTACATTTCTTGCAATGCCTTATCTGGGCATCTATGAGAATCATGCAGATTAATGAGCTCATGTAGGTATCTTAAAGTCAAATCCGAGTGAGGCAGATAATTGAAAGGAAAACAACACACAGCCTGGCAGTTGCTTGAGTGAAAGCACAAATATTCTGTTCAATTTATTATTATTTATCGTTACTGGTTAGCTACTTAAAACCACGTTGCTTTTATTTATCAAAAATATAAGGAACAACTCTAAAGATGTAATTTTACCTGTTTAGGTGGAGGTTCTGTTGCCACTGAAGCCTCAGTTTTCCACAGTGCAAAACAGCAAGAAAAACAACAGCACTGACCCTTATATTTGATACTTTCTGCATGCATATGCTACTTTAATGAAAAAGTCACTTCCAGTTCCTCTCCCTACACCCACCCTCTAAAAGCTGAATCCTAGATTAAATATGACTGAGCTAATAAACAAACAGACTCTCACTGCTCTCTCCATCACATTTTTTTAGCCTCATCAACAAAATAAACATGATTTATGCAGAGGTTATGGCTTTCTTTCTGTCCACTTCTCTGTCTGTCAGTTTTCCCCTTCTTGCTTCTAGTGAATTGAATAATCAGCTAATTTCAGCCCACTTTTTAGGGACAGGTAAAGATCCTGTGCACAAATACATTCCTACAGGTTTCACAAAAACTAACAAGTAACTGGAGGAGAAAAGATCAATTTTTGCCTACACTGAGAGGAAGGCAGGAATAATTTCTCCATTTTACTATTTTTTTGCCAGGAGCCACCTGGTTAATCAGTGTTTTTTTCCTTCAAGTGACCGCCATTATATTATTTTAACTTCAGAAAAATGCAGGGAAATAGTGTACCTGGGGATGGACTCCCTCTTCCTCTCCCCTGAGCCAACTAAAAGGAAAATATCTAGTTTACTCTCTTCATTGAATCTTCTGCAGTCAGCATCAAGAGATAAACATTTGCACACCAAACATTTCATCCCGCCAGCAAATGCAGCTGTGCCAGACTGCAGAAAAAGCAATGCTACAGAATAGGGGATGGCAGCTTATAACAAAATCCTGAATTTCTAAGTGGTTTTCCAGTGTCAAATACAATCTGCCTTCAGACTCCCTTTCTGTTATAGAAAAGAGAAAAGAAGGCAAGGTGAAAATGGGGGAAATTGAGAAAAGGTAAGGCAAAATTAAGCTGTTTTCAGTTTTTCGGGGCTTTTCTTCATCATATTAAGAGAAAAACCTGACATTTGACATAGTCTTGTCTTCTCCAAACCATTACCTGCCACACATCAGCTTGCACCTTAGCTAACAGTTGTGTTATGATGGGTCAGAATCAAAGGACTTGCTAGGAAAAAAAAAAAAAGCAATATTTACAATGTGCTAAAAGGCTACCAGGGCATGGCTAAAATAGGTCTGTAACCACCTCTCCTTTGCATATTTAATAACCATGCTCTGAAGAGGAGACGCTGGGTGTGAGGGCACACTTTGGGCTGCTGCAGTGAAGCCTCCTGCTCTGCAAGGCATCACATCTGACCCTGGGGAGCTGCATGCACACATGTCGCGTTGTCCCCTGTACACAGCAATCCTTCCAAAGGGATGTCTCCCCTACACCAGCACTCCGAAAAATAAGGGACATCCCTGCAAATGCCATGCTGGGGCTCTGAAAAGATAACCAGGGACCAAGCTGTGCACATTTTGCATGATGCGGGTGACCCCCTCACATGCACCCATTGGGGTGGAAGAGCCTGAATGTGCAGAGTGAAGGTGGCTCCAGTGTGATTGTCAACTAGTTTTTCCATTTGTATAACTAGCAGCAGGCTTTGGCCATGTGTAGGTAAACTGCCTTACCTGCAGAGTATAATCCCCTTAGACAGTGTAATTGCATTTCCAGGTTCACATGCCTCACATGCTTTATAGCTTTGGGCCGTCTTATGTTATGTGATAGGAGAGGTTACGGAGTTTAAATTTGGACTAATGAAGTTTTGTTGAAATAAGCTTGAGTCGTCTAGTGCTGACAAGAAGTTTAATATAAAATGGCATTCATGGGCAGGAGGAAAATAAAGGCTCTGCCAACCTGAAAGAGATCTCTATGAAACTATTTCTCTTCTGCCAGCTCTTGCCCAAGGTAGCAGAAGTCACGGAGGAGTAATGGGCAGACACTTTCAGCTCCCAAACTCACGGGCCCCTCTGAAAACTGGTTGTGTGTCAAAGGTGCTACACAAATATCAGACGTAATTAGTCAGGGATGGGCAAGAGGGAGCCCCGTTTCATCTTAATCTTATCAGCTTTGCATAAATGTCATTAAGCTTTGTCCACTTAATAGCATTTGACACACCTTGACTTTTTTCCACTCAGTGGCAATTAAAAATTAATGATTTCTTGCTTTAATAAACACTCTTCATGTAAATAACCAAACATCAGAGCATGAGGCAATGAGGTTTTAATATAAGTTGTCTGTGAAAAATAATGTTAGAGTTGCTGTGAATAATTAAAACTTGCTAAAGGCCATCCTCCAATGAATCTCAGTCTCCACCGAAGTGGGTACTCGCTATCCTGCTTAACAGGTGTTAAATGCTTTACTCAAGCTATGTGTTTCGCCAGCAGAAGTTCAGCTCTATCTAAATGTAAATTGAGTGACTGCAATTTCAATTTGGATTCATGTATCTGAGAAAAAGAAGTCAAATAAAAAAGCTCAAAGTTAAACAAATTGCTTTGGTTTTCATTTTTGACAATCACTTAATTTTAAATTAATGCTGCATTTACATAATACTATATTTATTTAATGCTGAAATTCTCTTTCAATTAATGTTGTATTTAATTTTATTTGGATTGGATAGTATACTCACATCATATGGTGAAGAGCAATGTTATGGCTAATGTGAATAATTCAGACTTAAAATATCCCTCCCTGCATGCTCTAATATACACACTTGCATGTTTTATCAGTTAGCATCCACTTTTGTGATTTAAGAAATGACTTCTTGGAATAATATCTCAGTCTTCAGAGCATTGTGGATGCCCTTAATTGCTTTGCGATCCCACTGTTCAATTTATTTCTACAAATGCATGATTGATATATGCAGGTAGACAGCCTCTGTCATCATGGTTTCTGATAGAGAGGCATTTAGTGACTCTCCATTCCCTGATCTCACTGAAATCCATGTTTTCCAGCCTTTTCAAAACAGGCTGGTTCCCAGACCTAGGTTCTCCAGGGTCTATAGTGTTGCTCACCAGACAGCAACTGGCACATGAACAAACTCTGGACTGTGCACACCAGAAGTCCAGTCACACACTCCAGCAATTTCCAGCTGGCTGGCTGTTATTTAATCCTCGAGTCAAACTCACCCAAAGCAAAGAAGACATGCAGAGAACTTTGGTTATGTGCAGAATTTTTTATGGATGAGATTTATCATAGCATATTCCTCTGCTCCTAATCAAAATAAGATGACCTAGTTCATCTTAAATTCTTCTCTTCACACCATCAAGAGTGTCAAGAAGTCAAACTATATTCACGTGATATGACATTGGCTCATTTACTTCATGCAACCAATGTATGTCATGGTGGGTAAGCGGAGGACTCTGGTATTTTGAGCTCTTTAAGGAGAAGTAAAATGAGAGAAAGATCAAAAAAGGATATCTGGCTTCCTATCTCCATGGTTTGAAAAGCCCCTTACATCAAGAACTTCTCCTTGGCTCAGCACTGGTGAGTCTTCTCCTTGGAAACAGGTCTCAGTAGATAGTTTTTTTACTGCAGTGTTCTCAGACCTCCCAGGCAATAGCTTCCTCCCCCTCTTCCCTGACACTGCCTTTCTGCAGGACTTGTGCTTGTACAATCATTTGATGCTGTTGTCAAACTGTTTTTCATGGTCAGGATTTTTAACTCTGATAACATTATCTACTTCTGAAAACAGATGCCCCACTGAGTGGTATGCTCTCATATGCTTTCTTTTCTAATAGTATGAGTAAAAAAAAAAATTAAAAAAGAAAAATAAAAGAAGACAAGCAACCCAACATATGCTGATAAACTCAGCCAACCAGAACAGGACTGGGAACTATGAAAAGCATGATCAGAATCAGCAAAAGCTACAAAAAGTAACAGCACAGGATCCTGATCTTGGATTTCTGCAATAGGCAACAGCAGCAAAACAAAGGGAAAAAGCAAACGACACCAAAACTGTAAGATACTACTGCTCACCTACTATGTGATTATTCCCAGTGGCAGAAAAATTGAAGATTTGTGAAAGAACCTCTCTCTCTGACTCAAATATGTTTACTCCCCCCCTCAAAAAAACCTTTACAGATAATTAAAGTTGTGTTGGAATTCAGCAATGAGATCAGAGAAGTCAGTATTCAAAATATCATTAGAAATGGTGAGATTAGCAGGGAATCCAGACCAGAACTTGGATTTTAAGCCCCCAAGTAATCCCAAAATGAAACCTGAGGGTTGCCTGCATGGAGCCAGGGAGCTGGCTGCATCCCCGATTCTCTGGGTTAGCTCCACTAGCAGAGAAAGACCACAAGGCTGCAGATGCCCTTCATGAAAAAACCTGCTGGTGATGCTCAGTTTTTCACTCTGCCTCTCCTGTTTTGACAGGCTAACTATCAGCAGCAGTTTTCTCTTAGTTAGATTTATTAGGAATCCATATCAAAGACCCACTATTTCCTTTGACAATACCAGAATGGTGCAGTTTCCTACTAATCCATCACAAACCGTATAATCAGCATTTCTCTTTGCTCTCCTCACCTACCATCCTTCAGAATTTGCAGGCATTTATTTGCTCATATTATCAAATTTTTTTGTTCTATTTCCTAGACGTCCAAACAGATCTTTGAAAAAGGTATTATTTGACTGGCATTTTAGTTCTTTGGACTCCCTTGGTTTTATCTATGATATCAATTCCAAATGATACTTAAGGCTTCCGCAATTTAGACCAATCTATTATCTTTGCACTACCCAGCATCTATGCTTCTCTTGGACAGCCGCCACACAGAAACACAAGCAGTTGATGGACAGATTTCCAAAATTCCCTCCGGCAGGCCTCATCTCCCAGCAAGTCTCGTATTCCCACTCATTTATGGTAGCAGCAGAGTCAGCTTCAGCAGGTGGACCAAGGACAGCCTCTTCCCAGAGCATCCCATGAGTTCATAGCTCCTTCACAGCTCTAAGCAGTCAAACTGGCAGGACGTAGTCCTAATGCCAGGAAACTTGGAATTGAGCCACCTGCTTATTCTGGAAAAGTGGGGACCATTTTTTTCCTTTCTCATCTTCAGCTGAGCACAGGCATTGCCCCAGCTTCACCCACTACAGGAGTTTTCAACCAACCTCAGTGGTAGCTACCAAATTTTTCTTTTCTCCCTAAAAAGATTATGCTGCACTGAATAGCAGATAATCACAATCAAAGCCTGGACTATGGGCACATAGATTTTGTCAGAATCCCAGAACAGGCAGTCTGGACTTTCCCTCCAAATACAACAGCAATACGAAATCTTAACAATACTGATGTGCTTTCCGTATTAGTATCAATGCCGGAACGTATACACCAATATATCCCTCATATTTACGCCCTTAAATACCAGGTTAATGGGGAGTGTCTGATCAGCAACTGTGACGTATATGCAACTTCAGCTGTACCTTGCCCACTGCTCAGCTGGCCTAGTGGCTTGGTTTCCAGTGTGGCCACTCCGAGCAAGGACACCAGACTGGGAATGGAAGGATCCCAAGGGTACTAAAGATGTCTACAGGATGGGATGTGTTTTACCTAGTTTTAGGTGTCCGGGATGCTGGCACCTAGAGCTGAACTAGTCATCTTCAGTCCCCAAGACTGGGATTTGCAGCCAAGATTTATTCCCATTGTACTCCTGAGCTCTGCTCTGGCTTTGCAAATTTGGGAGGCTGAGCCTGGACTCAGACACACACATGCTCAGCATCCAAAGTAGATGCTGGTTTCTCCCAGAGTCCAGACTCCCCTCTTGTCATTGAATCAGGTCCAGTTTTTCAAATCATGTCATCTTTTACTAAATACTTACATGTAAATATAATTTTATTGCTAACCTGAGTATATGATACTTATAAGTGGAGTGGCACATCATCTTATATTAACTCTTAATTTCTAACTCTTTTTTTGGTGCTTAAAAGGAAGAGCTGAGCTTTCCTGAAACTCTAGTTGATAATGATCTTTCTTTAGCCAAGGAGGAAGTTTGCAGTTTTGTTAATTCTGGGCAATTCTGGAGATTTCATATGGCATGGACTGAATTAATCATTTTATTTGTACCAATAGGGAGATTTAAAGTATGATATTTTCTTTTGGAATATATGAATTTTAAGATTCTCCAATAACCAATTCATGTTAAAATTGACACATGGAATACATAAGTTAACTTTATCACCACAATATAATTTTTGTGTTGAATGTGTCATTGTGTATGATTCACAAACAAATGTGGTAGCAGTCCCTTATACATTCTGGGTGTTCTACATACATCAGATATCAGGTAAAATAAACAGGTATGTTGCATATCGGTCTACTTTCAAACATCCTACTATTTTTGCTGCATGCGGTGCACCTACTTACTGGTAGCTGGGTAAAGTTTCAGTGTCACACCTGGCCTGTGGGGTGGCGTTGACAGTACTGAGGAAGGCAAATCTGAAGGAGGGAAAAGAATATAAGTTGCCTTGACATCTTAACAGGAAAAAAAAATAAAGGAACATTGATTGAATGAATAACAGAAAAATAAAAGCTGAAGTCACGGATCACTAATAAACATTTACATAGACCTTGATGTAGAAATACATTCACAGTCACCTATTTCTATATGTATTATTTTCTATTTCATAAATGTGCCAACTGACACACTTTATTATTACTCCAGATCAATCTCACCTGGCTCTGTTTGCATGAGTTTGCTGGTTTCTTGAGGAGACACTGTTTGCATCCAAAATGCATACACGTCAGCTATGGGAACAGAAAGACACATGCTTCGTGTCATTCAGGATATTTGTTGTTTATCTGTCTACTGAGAACTGCTATTTATGAGAGAGCTCAACAGCCAGAGTCCCTCACCCAGTACTTCCAGTGGCATATAAAAATGTCAAGATGAAAAAGGAAGGACAAAAGCTGTATTTTGCTAGATCTTGAGAAGTCTATGGGCTAGGGAAAGGTAAGATTTAAAGAAGGTATGTTTAGCGGAGACCAAGAAGAGCAGCTCTTTGCTTTTTCATAAGTCTGCTCACCGTATTTGGAGCAAAATGTGAGGGAACACCTGGGTGGCAGAGGTGTCTGTGAGGAGCAAGGCTTAGTTTTTCCCCAACAGGTACGAAACTACAAATGGACCCGCTGACTGATTTTAGCACTTCTACAATAAAAAAATCTACTCACTAGTGACCCAGAGTGTGTCTCCCTGAAGGGCCTCCCAACCTCAGAGATGTGGTTTCAGCTTTTGGCCAAACCCCACCGCTAGTGGGGTAAAGCAGCTGTCAGTCCTCCTGATCGTACTCACTGGGGCTGGGCTGTAGGGCTGGCGATGCGGCCGAGCTCCCCCCAGCAGTCGGAGGGGGTCCAGCCGTGCCTTGGGGTCTGGAAGCATCCACATGTGGTGATGGAAATCCTGATCCTTGTGCTTCAAGTGTCTTTGGCCATGGTGGGAACCTCGTGGCGGGGATTTCCTCCCCTTTCTGGGCAAGAGGGAACCTGGTAGCTGGAGAAGCAGGAGAGACAGAGGGAGGGCACCAGCAACATGCGGTGGATGCTGGTGCCTCACGGCAGCAGCAAGCATAACACTCTGGGGGACAATAACATCTAAAATACATCCAGAAAATCCCATCTACTCCTTGAGTGTTCCCCTGGCACGTGAGTGACCACATTTTCAATTTAAAAAATTATGTTTGTTCTTTTTCTTTCCAGGAAAACATGGGGAGTGCCAATAAAGTTTGAATTTTAACTCAGAACATTTTAATGTGCAAGTTTTCATAAACAAAAAAAAAAGAAACTGAAATGTTCCTTCAAAGTGTTTTTTTTTTTCCTTCACATAAATTATTTTTTATTTCCTAAACTGTTTCACTACAGAGGAAAGACATGAAAGCTCTTCTCTATGTGAAGGGAAGCAGGCAGGTACTGGAGGGCAGATATTGGAATTTGAGAACTGATGACATTTTGTGGCAGGAGTGACACTCAGGCTGGAAGAGATAACAAAGGTTGGTATGCGGTTGAGCAAAATAAAAGAGCTTATAAAAAGACATCAGACTGACTAGGGAAATGTAGAAATTTTGTTGTAGACATGCAGCTGCAGTGATGAGGAGGCATGAAGTAAAATTCTGAATTTCTCTTTGCTGCTACTATGTGCAAACAAGTATGAAGATTTGCTTTTCCGCTTTCAAAATGAGGCAGACTAGCATTTTTCTATCTTGTAGCCTTGTGGCAAAGCTAAATGCACTGAAGTTTACGAAATGTTCAGGTACTCACAACTGGATGTCATATAAAGTCAAAGATAGAGAAAAAAATGAAAAATTTACAGTAAGAAAGGAGAGGAAACAGTTTGAACAATCTTTTTCTAAGTTTAAAAAAAACAACCTTTTGTTTTTTACTTCTCTGCCTCCTTAAAAAACCTTTTTTTAATAAAATGGAAAAAAAAAAAGGGCTTTTTACAATAGTTTTTCTATTCTCCAGCTGTTCAGTGCATTACCGACCTGATCTTCTGCTGTTTAGGGCAAGCTTTTATCTTACTTTGTAATTATAGTTCAGCATCACAGTGCTGCGCAGCAAACATACATGATCACTTGTCAAGACGTTAATCAAGGACGTTAACCAAGGACGTTAACCAGAATAAATTTAGGTCTGACAATATTTGCTCACTTTTGAATGTCCACACATGTTCTGCTGATGGGTCCACCAGTTTTTTCGTGTCTTCCTGTAATTTCATGAAACTTGAAAGAATTGAATCTAGATCTTTGAGGTAGGAGAAGATAGGGTTAGTACATTCACCATCCATCACATATTTTGTGATAAAAAGGAAAGAAATCAGGTTCTGGTACAAAAGAAACAACTGTTGTCCTTTTAAATAAAAGTAATTTTTGTCAAAGTGTCTTTGATCATTATTTTTTTAAAGGACTGAACATCCTACAGCTTTCAGCACAAGTAAACTTGCCGCTGATTTCACTGTCTGCCTGTTTTAATCAAGCATTGAAAATGAGAAATAGTCATGGGCAGCAAGGAGAGGTGAGCATTGAAAGTGCAGCTCAACCTGGCAAAGCAGTTTTGGGTGGAGGAGCCACGCAGCACACTGGCTGAATATATTCAACTCCTTTCTGAAGGTAACTCATGTAAAGGTAGGAGATAATTTGTGCTGAGATTTAAAGGAGATGATACCCATTTAGATTAACAGCATCAGGGAGCCTCCCCAGTCCAGTGCTGAATTCTGTAAAAGCTCTCATCCTAGGAGGTTTTGTTTGTCCCTCCACTAGAAGACCTCATAGCTAATAATTTCAAAGTTTGTAAATTTTAAATATATTTATAATATAAATATTATATTACACTTATAATAATATAAAATATTGTTCTATTTGCATGATAATAAAATATACAAAAATCTATGAATATATAAATATGAATATACATAAGTAATAATAAAAATGTAAAATAATATTTTAAAAAATATTTTTACATGATGAAGATGGAGTATTCATTGCAAGTGCTACCTGGATGTGGTTTTCATTGTTGTTGCTGTTTCCTTTTATTCCCCAGGATGTACTTACCCAGGTCAGAAGATGTATTACTAGAAAATGTGTAATTAATAACAGGAGACTTCTCCAGCATTTCCCAAAAGTCAGACGGATTTCTCCCTGCAAATAGAAATGCTTACAAATATCAAGAAACACTTGTTTCTAGTACAAGTCATCATCAAGAGTAAATAGGGCAATATCTTGGGGTGGAATGGTTTTAATATTTACCTGTCTGCCCTGTCATCACACAGATGTAGATACAATCTGAATCATTGCTCTGACGCACTGAAAGGCAAAAAAACCCAGATCATTGTTACCAGTTTTCATTATATGATATTATCTTAAACAGCTGAAAACACAAACACAAACGGTATGAGGCTACTACAACTGGCCAAATATTTTCCTTCTGATCTGATTTTTGACAAAAACGTGGAACCAACTCCAAATCCAAATGCTAACATTGCCAGGGGAAATGTCTCTATCTAATTAAAATTCTAAATTACAAGCATCTTTACATGGTAAAAAAAAAAATTCTTCAGATAATATAGCCCATAATTATTCTTTGGGAATCATAATTCCCCCAAATACCAGCATTTAAAAATAATTCACCAAACTTTCAAACAAAACATAGCTGCTCATAGAAATATGTATATCTCTATGTATACACATTGTATATGTATCTTGTTCCTCTAAGGAGACATTGTTTACAACTGTAGTCCATGCTTTACAAGAAAAATGCTGCTAAGTAAGACCAGTGGGCTTTTATACACATTTCTATGGTTGTTTCCATGCCAGGAGTAAATCAGACAAATAAGACAATGATAAATGTTAAAAGGAAATGCAAACCTGAGAGAATAGAAGTGGATTTGAAAATTTCTGTGAGAAAACTGGTGGAGTTTCCAATAATATCAACAAGTAAAGCTGTAAAATCTAGACAATAAAATAGAGAAAGTTTATGATTGAAAACACATATTCTATCATCTATGCTGCGTCAAAAAATCACTTTTATATGTGATCATGTTTTGCATGTATGCTTCTATGTGACAATGTTTAAAATATTTTAAAGTTCAAAATGTTTCTGCTGAATGGGAGTGGACTTAAGAAGCCACTGGGATACTCTACAGAAGAATATTTCAAAGATGATATCCAGAATAGCACCAATGTTCCTAAAAGTAAACTTAAATGGAATTTATCAGTTCAAGAAAACAATCTAAAGTAACACTCTACTTCATCTGCTTAAACAGGAAGGAGAACCAATGCTTGTAGGCCTTGCCTGCACTGTCTATCTGCCATGTAGGACCTTCCAAGAGGCATCTGATTGTCTCCTCTGAGGTCTACTTCAACCATATCGATGATGATGTTGTCAGCTCAAAAAATGGCTACTGGTGGTGTTGTTACAACTATTTCATAACAAGTTGTAGCAGTAACAGGTCAGTGTTCTCACTTAGGGACTGACAGACACAAGCTCTATGTTGGGGACTTGGTTTAGACTAGGGAGGATTCTCTAATCACCAAGATATTCTGGATTTGGGGCAGTTTCTCCATTATCCTCCAAGGCAGACTGGGTCATTAGGCAATAAGGCTTGTGAGATGTGTGGGTTCAGAAAAAGCCATGAAAGCCATTGTGCCTCGTGTGTGATCATCACATGCAGCTTAGAGGTTATGGGTTCTAGTCCCTAGCTGCTGAGCTATTCTTGATCTCTTACATTAACCGGTCATAGAATTAGGTGCGCAGACGCACCCTGGAATATTAAATACTGTGAGATCAGGAATGTGAATGAGGATGAGAGGTGAAGTATGTCCCAACAGCATTTTACACTCCATGAAACAGCTCTGTGAAGACGTCAATCCTTGCTTTTCACTCCTTTTGGGCTCATTGAAGTTATCGGCGTCTATTGGTGCAGAGAAGTCCTTCTTCATCTCCTGTGGGTTATCTCAGGAGAGTGAAAGTGGCTAAGGTAATGTACGTACATTGCTGGGTTGTCTCGCCTGCGCTGCTCTTTGTACTCCGAGGAGGAAAGGGAGGTCTTTCTGCTGGGTAAACCACACCGGTCACTTGACTGATGGCTTCATCCCAGACTGGCTGGCTGGGTGCAGCCATCTGAGACTGAGTTCATCGAGTCCCCCCCAAGGTTCAGAGCAGCCACTCGTCGCAATGGCTGTTGACCTCAGTATGGCGATGCTGCTCATAAGGATGAAGGCTGCAGAATTCAGGCTACAGCTTTCAGCTCCAAAGGAAATAATTCAGCTTAAGCACACGCAATTGCCAACCTCTCTTGTGTACCCACCTGTCAAGTCATTTGTCACATTGTTCAAACAGTAGCAGTAATTCATAGGGAACTTGCCAGGGTCAACATTTTTCACGTTAGAAACTGTAAGGAGAGATGGGGAAAATCAGTATCTTGATGCACAGGCTGTGTGAGAGAAAACACTCCTGCACGGAGCAAAGCACCGAGACACTCACTGTTATAAATGGTGACTGACACTTTGTGGAAGGCAAATGAGCTGTAAGATGTGATGCTCAGCAAAGAGAAGAGTTTTTTGGTACCTGTAGAAACACATGCCCATGCTATTAGCGGTTGGAACAAATTATGAGAACAGCATGTTTTGACTCTGCTCATTTAATTTCTAGAAGACTCCTGAGGTGCTGATACTATTCAGCTGCCTGAGACTCAATTCTTTCTCGTTTCCTCTGAGGGAAAGACCATTTGTATTGCTTCTTCTTTTTTTTTTTAATTCAAACTTGCGCTGGATTATAAAGTGCTTTCTAAAGGTATCCCATAAGTAATTATGTTCTGTCTATATATAAACACACACTAATTTCTAAATTCTTTGGGGCAGACAGCTATCTGCGTTATAAATGCGCAAGGGTAGCTTGCTCCTAGAATCAATTCTGGAGGCAGACGGCATGCATTTATGGCTGCTCTGGCTAACACCGTTAGTCCTTTATCTCATTCACCGCCTGCGTGACCTGCCTGGCCTTGTCACACGTTACCTCTGAGCGCTGTGTTCAGCATACCATTCACCAGCTCGGTCAGGTTAATTGCAGCCAGATCCACCGACTTCGCAGGCAGCTCTGAAAAAGAAGGGGTCTCTGAGCAGTTGGCTGCATGAGGATTTAAGGGCCATTAATCCCCTGCTTGTACAGGGCAAAAAGCTTCCAGAATGGGAACAACAAAATGAGCAGATTATGTATCGGGATGCACTGAAAAACCTGTAGTGAGAAAATAAAGATGCGAGGAGTGCAGAAAGGAGTCTGGAAAATAACAAGATAGAGTGGGCAGTGCAATGGTAGGCCAAAATTTAGGCTGGGCTCTATGTTGCCTGTTCCTTGAGCATGCCCTTGAGCATGCTGCCAGGCAGCCGAAGCCGGTCCTGACGTTTTGGTGCCCCCTCGTGCTGGGCAATGTGTATTTACTGCCAAAATTGCAGCAGCTCTCTCTTTGCAGCTCACAAACGAAGGAGGAAGTACCTGGGACATGTTCCCCCTTTCCCAATGCTACATAGAACTGGATGAAAATGCAGGGTGGTTTGTTTTTTTTTTTTTCAGCTACCTTGATGGCTATGCCACTACGACAGAATAATTTGACTGTAGCTGAATCACACTTTTTATTTTAAGGTGTTTTCTTCCTGTTGACGTTGCCTATTTGTTTTTCCCAAGTCCAAATCTCCAAAGATGTTCTTTTGCTTCCCTCCCAAAAAGTCATGCAGAAGCAGAGCAGTCAGGTATCTGTGTGTGTGCGAGGAGAAAAGTCTGTGTGTGCGTGACAGAGAGAGAAAAAGCAGAGCAGGATGGAAAAAGAAGCACAGAAAGCTGAGATGAGAACAAAATCAAATTCTGGGGAGAAATACAATTTTCCAATGACATCAGTATTATTTTTGACCATTTCAAAACCAAGCTGCACCCCAGGGCTAGAAGCAGGGCTTCTCTAAAGCATAGAAGAGAGGAAAGGGAAAACAAAAGGGAATGGAGAGCTGGGAAGGAGAGAAAGAAAAAAGAAAACAAAAAACATTTTAGATTGCTGGCAGGATGGAGGTTAAATTGGCCAGGGACCTGTCTGGGTAAGCCCTGTGTTGGGTAAGGAGCCCTTGCAGCAGTGGTGGGTTGGAGCTCACAGACTGCAGAAGGGCTCATCCGTGTCCAGCACAATACCTTCCACTCCCATTAACACTCCCACACAGTGTCTCCTGATGTGCTGCTTGTTACCTGCGGTAGCCAGCACTGCCACTTGCTTCTCTTTCTTATTTTCTCTTCTTATGCATGAAGCTGTGAAATGAAGAAAGAGACTGAGAAACAGTTTTCCCTGTTCAGCTACCAGGCAACTTTCTGTTGAGCTCTCTGCCTGGGTTCCTTTGCTGCTCGCATTCATTTCAGCTCAGAAATCAATGGACATTAGCGCTGCAAAGCAGGCCACCGAGTATTTACAGCAGCAGCTGATCAAGCGCCTAAGAATAAGGATGTCCTAAAGGACTTGTCAGCTCCTTTAGCTGCCAGCTAAAGAAAGAAAACAGATTAAATATCAGAGCTTGCCCCCTTAACACAAGAATCAAAAGAAAAAATACTAGTAAAGTGTTGTAGAGGTCTGCACTAGGCTTGCACACAACATTGACTGCAAGGTACATAGTACAATAAGGCCAAATCTAAACAAATCTTCACAGGCTGTGTGCATGTTTGTTATTCAGAGCAGTCATTCAACTGAGTACTGTTCTTAAGAGCTGTGTTGTGGCAGGAATGACGTGGAGCTGGGCTCAGGGGATTGGACTCGCTTCCTGGGATTCCCTTGGTGACCAGCAAGGGCAAAATGCAGAGCAGTGAATTAGATGTCATAGGACAAGTTGAAGTGCAGCAGTTTGGTGCTTAAGATCCCTATCCCATCAGTGGAGAGCTGAGTGCCTCCAAAGAGTAATCCATAAGGCTCCCCAAATGAGCCAGTGCTAGCAAATGCTAAACCCCCATATCCTGCTGAAGCTTCACCTTCTCAGTCCATCCAAGCTCCCCAGAGAGAAGTCGTCTCCTGGGAGCTGGTGGTGAGGAGGGCTTACCTCAGTGGTGGTAATGCCCCACTCCATGTTATAACCTAATGGCAGAACTCTCACCAGGGAGTAGGAAACCTGGGTTCAATTTCCTCTTCAGCAAGAGGAAATCTGTAGGACTGGAAGCAGCAGAAGAAAGAGGAGATGTGACTGCATGATCTGGCTGTTTGTACCTAAATTGGTGAAACCTGAGTGCTTGTCCTTATTCATACAAAAATCTATGCCTTGTACAGAAGACAATCCCTGGATACATTTCTCTTTCTCCTTCTCTCTTTATATATATATAAAGGAAAAATACCCTATAGAAAATCCATGGTACAAGGCTTGTAAATTGTGACTCCTCATACAGTGCTAGTCAGCTGTATTAACAACTCTCACTTAGTATGAGCTAAATTTGGACTGATAATCTAGGTGGTAGGAGCTCTTCTAACCCTTCTCTCTCCTTGCATATAAACCCTTCTGACTCCAGATTCATGGAATCAGAGTGAAACGTAGACCTTTGCCATCATCTGGTCTGCCTTGCTGCATGGCACCAGCCCTGGAGCTCCAGCCCATTGGCCTTGCCTACGCAGGGTGAAAGAAATAAGCCTGACACAGATGTGGGACTAGGGCTATGGGAGCAATTGGGAAAGCGACACTTGGGTTATTGCCAGGGGAGCACCAAACCATTGTCCTTACCTGTGTTGCAAACCAGAAAGATACACAGAAATCCCAGGCTTATCTTCACTGGCACATGCCAGCAGAACCACTGCATTGTGGACTCTGACTTCCAGCAGTTTGGGCTGCTCTAGGAGAAAGAAATACTATTTTGATGGTGCTAAAGTTTGTGGTACTGCGCGATTTTGTTCAACCCTTGTCCCAGAATGGTGTGACCATGAGAGAAATATTAGGTCCCTGGGATGCAGAGAAAAGATTGGTGGTGTAAATGGCAAAGAATCAGAAAGCATACAATCGGTTTTCTGCATATGTGTGTGTGTCATGAGTTTAGTATTTAACTTGTGATTTTTGAGTCCTGATTAACTGTGGCTTTGGTGGGACTTGATAAGGTCATCTGCACAATCCTCGTCTCTGGCAGGACGACCTGTGCCCAAAGGACACCGACACATCAGACACCTAAACCCTTTCTGTTGAAACAAGATAAAATTTACTTATGTTCAATTTCAGACCAGATATCAACTGAGCTTCTTTTCTGCGGAAATGCTGCTTGCCCAGTCATCCCTAGTCTTGTGTTTCTATAGTTAATTATTGTCACCAAGCTGTGTCCTGTGCTGCCTTGCCTAGTTGCTTGGGAGGGATTAACAGTGCTCTGCCTTTCAGACAATGAGCCGCTTTCCAGGTTTCAAAGATTTAATTAGAGGTGGTTAGAAAAAAAGAAGGCAAGTCCTTGCTTCTTTACATGTTCCCCCCTGGTTTTGTAATATCGGAACATGCCAAAAAGCTCTGTAGTTGTCAGAAAATGAGGGAGCCTATGAAAATTAGCAAAAAAAAGTCAAAAAATGTTTTTTCATATCCTCCTGGAGTAGCTAATCTTGCGAGTGTGCAGCAAACCATTATCTTGAAGATAATACTGTTTGATTAACAAACTATTATCATCGTGTTTAAAATCTTTCTCATTTTTAATTCACTAGAGAATTAACACATTCTGAAAATAGATAATTTGTACTTAGCAATTCTAAAGAGACTCTTCCTTGGGATGATGAAACGATACCAAGCATTTCTGTATTTGAAATATCTGTGTTTGCTCATCTGATGAGTCACAAAGCATTTAAGTACCAGCTCTGCTAATTCAAACAAAGCTCTGAGAAGCTTTTTAGGCAGTACGTTCTATCTATTCAGTCCATCTGCCTAATCCTTTTTACTCAACCCCAAGCCTGTACTCATCCGTGGTTTCTGCACAGCATGTGCAGAAGAGCAGGGCTGAGGCAGAGAGAAAGCCATGGCCAAATCTCGCTCCCCAGACTTCTTACTCCATCACCTTTCTGTGAGCTGGACTAATTATGCATGGACAGTGTCCAGTGTCCTGTGGACCACCTAGCATCAAAAATCCTAAGCTTGGCTCTCCTTGCAACAATATTTGGGATCTGACCAACAGATAGAGTACAGACCATGAATATATTGCTGGCATGAGAATCACAGGGCCTGACACCCAGGCAAGGCTATCCCTGCTTCCACTGTCCGGTATTACGAAGCTTACCGGGAGTTGTAACAGCTTTTTCTGTGGATCTGTGGACTCCGTAGTTAGTGGAGACTGTAGCATGGTAGCTCAAGCCTGTTAACATGCTGATGTGGTGGAAGCAGTGGTGATGTAATCTGCACAGAGGTAGGTATAAAAGTAATCCATGCCTCCGGATTCTGCTCAATTTTTTTTCCTCTTTGGTTTGACTGTATGTAACGGAGAGGAATTAGTGAGAGATACTCCTCAGTGGTGTTGAATATGAAGAACTGGTGCTTTGCAAAGGTGTGGGGAGGTGACTGTTGTGGAGATCAGGCTCCGCTGAAGTCGTGGAATGGGACGATCATGTCAAGGGGAGATTTGTAACTACATGTTTTGGAGCAGGAAGGCTATAGTGGCTGGTGCACCTAGTCAATTAAGTGTCCTGTCAAGGGGGAACTGTTGGATTGCATGGTTGACTGAGGTCAGCAGTGGGATGATTTGCTGGGGTTTTTTTAATAGAATTTCATGAATTTTTGTTCCCGTACTATGAGAAGTGACTGCCTCCTTAGCTCTGGAAGATCTACGTTATGATGAGCTGTGCTTTGTGATGACAGTTCAGTGTTTATGGGCCACAGACCTCCCCCTGACTATGTTCCTCATGACCCGCTCCCTGCACACAGGGTGTGAACAGACTGCACAGCCAGTGCCGTCTCTGTGTATGCCGGCCCAAGGGACATCAACATGAAACATGGCCAACGGCAATACTGCCACCATACTGTCCCTGTGGCATAAGGCAGGTTGGCTGGAGGGTCTCTGCAGCCCAGACTGGCAAAAGAGCCCAAACCTCTGCCTTTCATGAGGATTTTGGCTGCATGGCAAGTGAGAGACTCAGACCTAGAAGGTGAGAGAAGAGGGCATCCCCTGCCCTGTTTTCAGTCTGCCCCTACAGATCGATGGTCAGTTCTCGTGCCAGAGTCAGGAGACTTGGTTTCCAGGACCTGCTTTGAGGAACGTGGGATCTCCTGGGTCACCAGTGAATAACACTTGGATGAACAGCAAAATCTTTGGTGTCTGCAAGAGTATTTCACGGACTGATGTGCAAGCACAGCTGTTCTATAAAGGTTCACAAGTAAAATGGTTGATAGTCTGTAGATAATTTCCTATCAGGGCTCTAACTTCATTACTGATATATTTAAACTGGCCCAGAGATGTTCATTGTGGCAGGATGGGGAAAATCATCTGACAGAGGACTCAGTGCAGCACACTAGGCCAGGGGCTAGAGAGACCACGTTCCCAACAGAGAGAGAAGGTGCAATAAGACTGACAAATGAAGGAACTGTCTTACCAAAGCACCTCAGGGTAGAGAGAGAGGAGGAGAAAAGAACTGTAAAAGCAGAAACAAAATAGACAGAGAGATACAAAGTTGTGCTTGGAAGCATCCCATGCACATAGAGAGATGCTCACTCACCTGAATTTGCAGCTCCCTGCTGTCCTCCCTGCTGAGCTGCTCCTCCACACTAAAAAACACACAATTTTCTCTGCATAGGACACTAATTTGCAGCAGGGATTCAGAGCAGGCATTAGCGTGGCCATAACATCCCACATTTAATCGAGGTGTGATTACAGGCTACAGACTCAATCAAGCAAAACATCTAACAATTGGGACAACATGCAAATATAACCTGGAAGGATGGATCATAATAAGCCAAATCTTGTTCTACTTCTAGCAAAGAAATATTAAATAATGTGGGTATAAAATGATGGAAAATCCTCCATTCATGGGAGGACTTGCTTTGCCTCAATGTCAGATCTAGCCCTGTGATGTTCTCTGGCCAGTACAAGATGCTTAAGAAAAATTTGCAGAGAAACCTCAATATTAAGAACATCGCTCTAAAAAGGACTGCCCTTTTTCCTCAATAGGTAGAGACTGATTTAAATTTCAAGCATTAGGTTTTAGCTGCTTTCCAAAATCTTTTCCCAGAATTACATCTCTGAACATTTATGCTGTCCAATTAAATTTCAAAGCCATCTGTGAAAAATACTCCCAGAACTGCTGCCTGAAAT